AATGGTTAGTTTTACTTATATTAGTTTTACAACAAAAGAGAGTAGATTTGCTGTAACTATTCAGTAAACTAGTATTTCAATACCTTTTCAATATTTGTTTCTTTGTAAGTGTTCCAATTCATACCGTTTGTGGACAAGTGAACTTTGTAGGCGGTGGTCCGCTGACCCTGTTTCCGATTTCCTTGTGTGGCCACCGCACAAATAAAGCGCACTGCACCCAAATCAACTTGAAGATATTCTGTTCTATCAGATTTAGTCTTAGAGCACCATGCTCCAGATCCTCTACTTTCATTCAGTCGGCCGTAATAAGGATGATAACTACTAGAGTAAAAACTGCTTGCCGTCATTCTAGCGTTTGGTATTCTGTTCCTGTCCGCAACACCAACTGGCTCACATACTTTATTCATTCCGGTCATCATAAATTCTTGAAGGTTTTGAATTGCATTTTCTTGATAGTCTTCATTGATTAAAGAAATTTGGAACCAAATACCTAGGGAACGTGCGTATAGGTAATATCATAAGAGTGATTGATTGGAGACAGATAACGCATGGTGGCATGAGGTAACGTGCGAACCACCTACTTCGTCTCAAATTTACCGCCACAAATAAAGACAGTTTCTCTTGGAGAAAGGAAATGCAAATCTCAAAAATTCTTGTTTTGTGATGAAGACATAAAACAATTTTGAGGAATGCGCCCGCTGGTCACTGCTTTGGAGTAGCTGTGGCTCAAGCTGACTTGACTCTAAGAGTTCTACATCACACGACGGTTGATTGACAAATGGTCCAGTGGGACCTAAGGCTCCTTTTATAGCGCGCCTTCGTATTTAAAGGAAGATGAGCCACGGTTGATCTCAATGTACACGCACTTCAACAGTGCTACTATTGAAACAGAATAAGGGCGCTTATTAGAATAAGAGTGTATACTCAATAGTGGCGCTTTTTAACAAAAACAGATCTCAGGAGGCGCTCATAAGGATGGGGGCGCATATTGGAACTAGGCAGAATCATTACCGTAACTGTAAATACATTTTTGAACTATTTGGGACTTGCCATCGTCGCGAATTTGATTGTTTGACTCAAATCGCTAAATAAATAACCATTTGACTATACAAGACAGATCGCTATTGAATGAATATGTTGATTTCATTTGTGTGAAATTTGAGAGAAGGATTTCTACTATTAACTTGAAAGGTTGTTTGTTATTAAACCGTTTTGTCGAAGAATTTGATTGCCAGGTTTAATTCCTGATGAACTTCTTTTTGCACATTTTGTCAAAGAGAACAACGAACTTCAGTCGTCAAAAGAAAGTAAAGTTGACGAACCTGATATGGACGAGGAGGTGCAGCCTTTTATAAAACGAAAGTTATTTTTACCCGAGGGACGATGTTCTCACCAAATTTTACAAGTAAATGGAAATGCCATCACTGCTATTTCTGTCCGTCAAATGAAAGTTGATACCACTAAGATAATAGACGATCGTAAAAAGCGAATGCTGCCAAGATTTAGGTAAGTCACGAACGCCTTGATTATACTTTTAAAGTTCGTTCTTCTAGGAAAGGTTCTCTGTGACTTTTTATTTCAGTTTTTAAAGATTAACTTAGTCGATTTCTTTGAAGGAATGACTTACCAGGAAAAACTACCATTAGTGCAGAGCAAGAGCTGCTTAGATTGTCCGAGGCCAATCCTGAGGGACTCACCACCATGGATCCTTTTAAAGACTTTAACATCCGGGACATAGACATGGTGAAGACAATAGCGAGAAAACAAAGCCTTGAGGAACAAGTGGCAAACTACGCATGCTTGAACTGCCCTAAGTTTACGGAGCATGTGAGTTCATTTATTCAAAGAAACTATGAGGAAACCAGGTCATATTCCAAGTTCAAGTCAGGAGTCCTGATGATTTTCTTGTTCTTTATTTTATGAGATCCCTGCATCTGAATAACTTCTCGCGGTGTTAACTGAAGAGGGCGCTAAATATAAGTGGTAGGAAGGCTAAAGATAAAAAAGAATAGGCTCTTTGCATGACTCCATCACGTGATCAACTTTCGGTAAACACGAAAACAGTTCACTTTTGAAAAATTTTGTTAGCACAAGCTGAAATAGCATGTTAAAATTAGTTACCTTAAGAATTTTCAGCTGTACATCTCAAAGTAGCGATTGCAACGGCCGCCGAAAGTTAGAGTTATTTGATCCCTGTAATGCTCAAGGAAATATTTCATGACAGTTTGAAAATTTCAAAATTACATGGATTTGTATGAAAAACCATGTCAGCGTGA